GTTTTTATGTAAATAGTGAAATTTGAATTACTGAAAACCATGTTAATTTTTAGAATTCATTTTCCTTAGTAGAGACTAGTGATGCATTAGCTTCTGGGAACAAACTTGTATAGTTTCTTAATTGAATTACCCAAAATGGAAGCATTTAAACACTTTTGGATTTACACCAATCTTTTGTGTTTGCTTTTTAAAATAAAATGCTTGTATTTGTATTCTCCATATTTTGGAGTAATTATCTACAAGATGTTTGTAGGTCCTGTGGTTTTTCACCTAAGAAGCAGAATCTCATTCAGTACATTTAGTTTTATAAGAGTCATGAAGCCAAATCTTTGATGGGCTGTATCAGAGGCACAAAGTCTAGAATGTGTGTATTCACAATGGTGTACATTTTGTGCCTGAGTCACCTTGAAAAGTGTCTCAAAACCTGGACAGTCCCCATCTATCTTCACAGGAATTTTATATGTATTTATGAAGATGGTTCTGTACTCTAGTAAATCTTTTTGGGCATGGACTAATTTATATCTCTTCATACTTATATTCTGCACGATCTGTATATAGTACATCAAACTTAGAGGTATGACCTTAAATTTAACTTTTTTTAAAAACTGGGAGGTCAATAAAATTTAAACTGCTTAACAACTATGTATACAAATGTTTGTATTTTTTACTTGCATGTTTTTATCATAAATAACATCCGAGTTCTCTAAAACAGTAAGTATATATAAATAATAAATATGAATAATTACCTTTAATATACTTCATACTTTCAGACAGTGGAGGTAGAACATTTTTCAAAGGAGAAATTGTACTTACTTAGTCCATCCAAGTTGTCATACTTAAAAGGATTATAATAAAAATTGTTGCATCTAGTTGTCCCTTAAAGTAGATACATAAGTTAATGGAATCTAAAACTGGAAAACTTAAGATGATGCTTTGGGCACACAAAAACTTGGTTAAAATCTCATTTTAAATACAGTATACTAAATTGGTAAATGATCAATTATCTTGTGAAGTGTTAAAGAAGATTCTTTGAACTAAGAGTCTTTCTTAAAAATGATTCTAAAGACTATATAAATGCTATTGGGATAACACTGTTATACCCCATTTCAGCAAGAGTACCTTGTCAACTAATAAATTATTTACATGTCTTAAATTCTTCCACAAGATGGTATGAAAATAAAAGTCATGGTTCTCCTCCCTTTCAGAATCACTAATGGAACTTTTAAAAAGAAACAGCCCCTAAATACTACCCATAACATGCTTCTGATGGAGTAGGTCTAGAATAGAGATTGGGCTTCTAACACTCAAAGCCAATGAACCAATATAGATTCCTGATGTGAGAAAGTTTGCATTATAAGAAAAATGAAGTACGTAAGAATTTAGGAAGTATTCAGTATCATACCAATGTTTTCATTTTAAGAGGAAGCCTCTATTTTGACCCGAGTCAGAAAATAATTGGTATTGCATGATAAATCATAATTACACAAAATTTGAGTCTTTGATACTGAGATTTATGTAAAGCAGTCCAAACCTAAATAAATGTAACCTTAATGGGAAGTTACCTAGGGGTTACTTATTCTCTCCCTTATGTCTACCTCACCATCCCCCAAAGAAGAGTATGTTACTTTTTTTAAGGTTTCCATTCTTGACACCTTGTGCCTTATTGTTCATTTTTGGCTCTTTCCTGAAACAGATTTTTGAGGTTATGTGCCCTTCTGACCCCTCAGATTTGGTCCAGTGTAGATTCATCTAAAAAATCTCTTTATGATTCAGCCTTTGAACTGATGTAGATAAGAGGAATCTGAGATAACACTACTCATTATTAAAGTAAGCTGGAGGGGGGGATATCAGTCATCACTAGGCTCTCAGGAGAAGTAGACATTTTTGAACCCTTGTTTTCCACATCAAATATGGAGTGAAGGCACTATTTAATCAGTTCTTAAGTGTTTCATGTAACTGGTTAGTAGATGAATTATAAATGATGCCATTCTATAAGCTAGACTACTACACAAAAAACATTGGTCTAAACATTTCCAGAAATCATTAATATGTACTGTTTTGGAAAAACTTGCCAAGTAATTAAAATGTTACTTCTCAATATTTTTTGTATTACTTTTTCATATTATAATTCTAAATGAATTACTTAACTTCAATTAAACAGCTAATTTTACGTTTTACATGTGCTTTCTAAAATCTCAAAAGTGTCAAAGTATGTGACTTCTCAAACTCCAGTTCTATGTTACCTTCATGGTGATGTAAAATAGCTTTAAAGCAGATTCTAATTTTCTGGTTTAGATCATTAAAAACTGATGACTGGCTTGTTTAATTTGAAACACAGGAATCATTCATTTTAGTTGCTAGAATCATGAAGTTCATATTACTATCATTGGTGTAAGACAGAGTCATAAAAATCAAGCTATGTCACTGGTATTAGCTATCCCAGTACTTAAAAATCATTATTTTATTTTTTTGAGACAGTGTCTCACTCTTTTTGCCCGCGCTAGAGTGAGTGCCATGGCATCAGCCTAGCACACAGCAACCTCACACTCCTGTGCTCAAGCAATCCTTCTGCCTCAACCTCCCGAGTAGCTGGGACTACAGGCGTGCGCCACCATGCCCGGCTAATTTTTTTTCTATATATTTTTTAGTTGTCCGATTAATTTCTTTCTATTTTT